TCTGAAGGTCAAACACAGAAAATGAAATGCAGTTTGTTTTATTTCTCATCTATAACTCCAACAGTTCAAGGTGTGACAACACTGACAGGTGTCCTCACCTCAATGAACTCCAGTCTCTTGGACAGGTAGAAGGTGAGGGGTTTGCCATACAGAGATGCTGGGTGCTGGTCGTAGTAATTCACCATGTCCAAAGCCTCCTCGTGACTGTTCATCTCCAAGAAAGCCTGATGGAGGTACGTTTGTTCATATAAGGAGAACACATGAAACTGGTTTAACGTGACTATGACTGAACGAGGCTGCTGCTCAGCTTTGGAGCTTACATCAGCAACTGTACCTTGTTCTTGAGGACAAGGTGCTCCATCAGGCAGCCAAACGGCTTAGCAAAAGCAAACAGAGTGTTGTTGCTGAGGGGCTTCCTGTCGTACTTCACCACAACAACTCTGCTTCTCAGCTGAGGACAGGCAACGTTTCACTTCAGTCTCACCGCAGCATGTCATATCATGTTCCACATAAAATGCAGTTATGAGTTTACGAACTTCCACATAAACATTCCTTTTGCTACTATGAGGTCCATGGTGACTTTTGCAGTGTTAGGAGTGACAAAGGAATAAACCAATCTTCACAATTTCAAATGCATGTTTTCTGTTGAGCAAGCAGCCACCCGCTACCGACCTTAATCTGTCCTGGCTGGTTGGTTCCTGACAGGCCAGGACCTCCACTTCCTCCTGACACACAGACACACCGACTGTTAACATCACAGGCTTTCACCACCTGTCAGTTCATGTTTATCTGCTGGTTTAGATTGTAGAGGCACACTACTGTGACCCAGGACATGCTGCTCAGTTGTTCTGGGTATAGAGTCTTACCCCAGCTGGAGGACATCCCTCCTGCTGCCTGAGACATGGGGGCAGGTCCCAGCAGTCCCGCACCCAAATTGGGGGCATCCAGAAGATCCCCACTAGAGTAAAACAATCAGACAAGATTCATTCAAGCCATTGCCTTATATGAATTCAAGACAATGTCCGTATAATCCGGTGCGAACAATGTCTGGAGTTTCCCTTTCCAATATGACCTGGAAAGTCTTGAAAATCTTTATTTTATTCCATTCATGTGTGCGTGGAGGTCACAGGAAATCAGCTGACTGGGCTCAATGCAAGTGTGCATGATCTACGGGCCCATAAACGCTGAAGCATGTGGAACATCTGGGTAATTTTTATGGCTGGAATTAGGAAGCATAAAGAAATTTTTTTTGAGGTATGCACCACTAAGCAACTGTCAAGAGGAATGAACAGGTGCCATCTAGCAATGCAGTATTGAGCTCATGCTGCCAGTACAATACCAGCGTGTTCCACATCAGGTGTCTGTATGCGTCTCTTACCCTCTGCCTGACACCATACCAGGGTCCCACTCTGGATACCTGCACACAGAACATTTGACCACTATGACAAACCTGAAAAGAGCAGTGCACTGACGCTGAACCCGTGTCAGTGTGCATCACAGTGACTCACATGTCGAGCAGCAGCCGTCTGTTTTCAGCATGTCGAAGTCCATTAATGTGTTGGGTCCACTCCTACAGGCAAACAAGAGAATTACAGACACTCAACAGGCCATCACCCACCCCCAGCCAGCCTTCATTAAAGGAATTGTTCACCCAAATATTAAACACTTATTGCTGTATCAAAATGAGCACCGGGTCTTAAAAATCTTAAAGCCCTTGTTTTCAGCTCAATGTAGAAACAAAGGTGGAGTCTGCTGGAAGTTACTGGCTGAGTAACAGTGAGTGAGTCCTGCAATGTGAACAGGAAATGCTCATGTCAGCTGATTTTTTGAGGACAGGGTCTAAGGACACATTTGATGACTGGCTAAAACCTTCTAAGACTGGACAGGCAACATGTAAAGATTGTTTCTACCAACTTGTGAAGGCTTTAGCTCTTGAAGCAGCACACCCCTTCTAACTGAATAAGCACTGTGGACACTGAACCACTGTCTGGTAACAACTGGAACATCTGGCTGCAGATCACAAGGAGAGGTATCGACAACGTGGACTGTAGAGGCTGCAGAGGGGCTGAGTCCCGCTGAGTCTTTGATTTAATGTTCACTGTCCTGCCTGCATCTCAGTTGTCCAGTGCACCTTCACAACAGTCCTTTTAAATTCACTTCCATTTTATTTGTATAGTGCCAAACACTCATCTGAGGGCACTTTACATACTAAGATACTAATGTCTAGCCCTTACTATTATTATTATTGTTGTTATTATTATTATTATTATTATTATGGAGAAAAACCCAACAAATCCTACTCTGCCATTCTTTAATCTTTATTTTCTGAAGAGCATCTCACTGAATATGCGGATCTATAAATAAATTACAATAACATTATAAGTGCTCATATCTAAGGTGCTTACATTTAAAAAACAAACAAACAAAAAAACAAAAACAAAAAAAAATAAAACAGCAGCTAGCAAATCGTAATCACTTTTTTTCGCCGACATCTAACTTTGGGACCTGTTAGTGTGGAACATCTGGTTTTAACGGGTGACACTAAAGGAGCAGTAAGTGGTGTCACATGTAAACAGCCACCAACTGTCCATGGCATATTGTCCAGATTAAAATCTGCTCCTGCAAAGCAGCATATATGTGTGAGGTCAACGTTTCCACAGTAAAGTTGTATTTTATTGTGGCATCTTTCTGTTGAACTTAGTCATCACTTACATATAAACATGTAATAACTAATTGAATGTGAATACATTGAATCTAGTTGGACGATGCTGAATTGACAATGATAATGACAAGAACTGAATTTCAGGGTTGACTTTCTCTTTAAAAAGACATCTGGCTGGGTGATGACTGACAAGGCCCAGATCTGACTGTGTTATGTTGGACTACAGGTGTCAAAGTAAGAAAACCAAGGTACGGCACATGCTTTAAGGAGATACAAAACAAGGAAACTACGGGAGGCAAACTGGAACTGCAGTCACTGGGGACGACATGAGTACCACCTGTCACAGACTGATGCTGCCAGAAGACTTGAACTTAGCTCAGGTGTCTGAGTGCCATTCAACAGAAACATTTAAAGTTAGTCCAAGAAGAGAAGAGGAAAGAGGCTGGACGGTACTCACCATGGTGGAATGAATGTCAAAGTCACAAAGAGAGCACACATGGGGGAACATAGGGGGCATGACTCCCAAGAAGTCTTGGACTTTTCCGTTTGATGGGGAGCCCATCCTTCTCTGCATAAAGATGGGATCGGATGATGGTAGCCCCAAGCCGAGGCCACTGTAGGAATCATGGTGAGAAAGCTCAGAATATGGCCTCTCTCTGCTCCCACCCCCACCACTGCTGCTGTAATTTAAGCTGTAGCCCCGGCTGGAGGAGACGTCCTGCAGGGAACTGTACCCAAAGTCTGCAGAGGGCTGGGCCCGGGCTGAACCCTGACCCAGAGAAGGGCCGCCCATCCTCCCCATTTGTACGTCGTCCCAACTGTCCCGTCCTCCTCGATATGCAGTGTCAGAGGACATAGAGGATGCCACACGCCGCTCTCCTGCGTCCCCTTTGCGGTTCTTGAGCTGCATGAGGATCTGAGGCAGCGTCTCCACACTGATGTCCTCCTCAGGGATTTTAGCCAGCGCGTCCAGGTCGGAGGGCGACAGCCCCAAACTGGCAAACAGCTTCATGGTGCTGCCAAGATTGCTACTGCTGCCGTGCCGGATTATCTGGGAGCTGTCCTGGCCCTCCAAACCTTTGCCCACCCCCACACCTGAGGCCATACCCCCAATCTGCCTGTTGGGTCGCTGTTCATTCATGCCGAAATTCAAGGTCTCCGCAGCGGCCAGGAGCCCCCGACCCACAGCAAAGTGTTTCTGACCACCGTCTGACTGCGACTTCTGAGACATGACGTCTCCGGCTACAAAATGTTTTGGTACAGGTTGAGTCAAGATAATGAATGAAGCAGGAACAAAAAGTGTCTATTGTTTTTTAAGGACTGGGAAAAGTTAATGTCAGTTAATGTCCTGTGCAAGGAGTAAACTTTGTCAAAATGAAGGGGAACTCCTCTTCTCTTCTGGAGAATATCTCTGCTGAAACACAAGGTAGAGACATTCTTCAGACGCTGCCACTGCTAAGACAACAGAAGCCAGTGGACAGGCACTGAGGCACAGAAGCATGTAAATGGAAGAAAATGACTGATTCTTTTACAGTCACCTGAGCACATGTAAGCTGTGATTACTGAGACAAATGAGGCATTTAAAGAAGGCTAGAGAAGGAGAGAGGAAAGGATTTAATGTTTCAAAATTCACCTCAGACACAGAGGAAGAAAATGGACTGAAGTAAGCAAAGTGTGATGGAAACTTCTCCGCTGAAAAAAGAACAACTCTCAATATCAGTGTAGAGAGATGCAATTAATATACCAAGTCTCTATGTGAATAACTGTTTACAGCTGACAGTCACTTTGATAAAGATGTAAGGAAGAACTACTGTGCCCACTACAGTGGATGGCACTACTCCAGTCCAAAAGCACACATTCATCCTCAATGAAAGTGTTAACTATTTCAACTAAGTCACTCTACCATGAGAGCCAGCATTCAGTATGGCCCATTGGGAACAATATTAACAACCCATTTTGTTACTGTTCTGTCTTTTGCATTTGTTTTGGTTTCTGAATAAGCATTGTGTGTTGACTGCCTTGTTGTTGCACTGGGTAAATGTTAAATGTGGCACCACCGACCCCAGAGAAATGTGTGCTTTAATATAAACACCTTGACAGGTTATAAAAGAGGAGAAATGGGCCATAATACAATGTAGTACAAGGCCGTGTATTTTTCATAGAGAAGCATTGGGTAACAGTTAGGGTAACGGGGTTTCTGCAGATTCACACAGTTAAAATCAAGGCTTTTGAAGATGTTTTTAGAACCACAAATGCATTCCCGTTTTCTTAGCCATACCGCCCAAAGTATAAATAGTAATTAAAGTATATTAATTTATTGACATTTATGTCGGCTCTTCCCGGCTGTACGCCTTAAATTATTCGTTTAACACGAGCTGGGCCTAGATAAGCAGCAGAAAACAAACTAATCAATACGTTAACCAATTAAAACATGACCTATTTTCTTCAGGTCCACATATGAATTTTGTAACGTATAACATAAGAAATGTGAAGAATAGTTCTGGAGATTTTCCAGGCAGTATTTGACAACATCACATACAAAAACACCGTTTAAATAACATTAAATCCCAATGCAAACTAGAGGAAATAATTCAGGCCTTTGTAAATTTCAGGCTTTCTCGACTTAAATAGATGCCTTTAATGCGTTTCGAGATCCGCAGATGCTCAGTGAGTATATGTCGAGTAAACATCTACGGAAGCTTCAGTTGTGTTTTCATTTATGGAGCAAGTTTTCAATGAAATACAGCAGCACATGGGACCTAAGATGGGGTAGCAGCTCAGCTAACAGGGCTAATTCGCTAAAATTACCACAGACTTAATCTTTCTAAACAAGGAATAAACCTAGTGTCGCAATTTTATTCAGGACAACTGAATAAAAAATGCGCTACATAATTATCAAAATTACATAATTACTAAAGCCGAAAATTGGTTACAGCTGGAGACAGCGCTGCATGCTAACAGTCGAGGCTAACTTCGCTAAGGCCATTAGCCTGCATCATGGCTAACCTGCTCCTGCATGCCAGTACTATTCATTAGCTACGTTAAACGTGAGTTTATAACTTCAATTCATGACTGGAATTTTGTAATATGCATAGTATACATCAAGCGGCGTAATATCCACTATTATTTATTTAGTGTAGTTTCTATTTGTAAGGTAAAATAGGCTTACCTTTTCTTTTTCTGGATGCGTAACGTTTACTCGCTGAAGCAAGTCTTCTGGCGCAAACGAAAGCCACGTCGTAAGGTATCGCGATATTTAATCTTCGCCCACAATGGTGGGTCGAGCAGCCTATGTTTTGTTATTGGCTCTGCTCATTGTGTTTATTGTAAATATATTTATTAGCTACGAAAACCATATAGCTGTATAGTATCTCATAAATATGTATCTGCGTTGTGCTACAATCTGTCTAGCAAAGAGAGTGCGTTTTAAAAGAAGGCAGACCCCCTGAGCCAGGACCACAGTGCTGCAGTCAAGGGCGAAAGCTGAGTAGTCCTAGAAGATGTCCTAGCAGGGGACATTATGGAAGACCACTTCTACCAAGAAAAGAACAGTGATGGAAGAAATACTCAAATCCCATAAAAGTAACAATACAATAGTGTAAAAATACTCTGTTACAAGCAAACGTCCTGCACTCAAAATGTTACTTAAAAGTAAATAAGTGGTAACATCAAAACATACTTAAAATACCAAAAGTAAAATAACTCATTATATAGAATGGCACATTTAATATTAATGTATATGATTTGATAACAACTACAGATGCATTATTGTGTTCATTTCATTTAATGCTTTAGGTAGTAAAGGTGGAGCTAGTTTTAACTAGCATATACATACATGAATGATGGATGGTGATGGACAGGTTGACAGATGAGGTCAGACAGGAATCTCCATGGACAATGATGTTTGAGGATGACATTGTGATCTGTAGTGAGAGCAGCGAGCAGGTGGAGGAACACCTGGAAAGGTGGAGGTCTGCTCTGGAAAGAAGAGGAATGAAAGTCAGTCGTGGTAAGACAGAATACATGTGTATGAACGAGATGGAGGGAAGTGGAACAGTGAGGTTACAGGGGGCAGAGGTCAAGAAGGTGCAGGAGTTTAAGTATTTGGGATCAACAGTCCAGTGTGATGGGGAGTGTAGGAAAGAGGTGAAGAGACTTGGTTAAAACCATGTCTCAGAAGGAAAAACTACCTATAAGAGCATTGTTTCAATAGAAATACAAGTGTGCTGCCTGTCTCATTATTCTGACAAATCCATACGGCATCAGAGGGACAGCTCTGGTCGGCTGTTTTGGGGACAAGGTCAGAGAGGCCAGATTGAGATGGTTTGGACATGTGCAGAGGAGGGATAGTGGTTATATTGGTAGAAGGATGTTGGAGATGGAGCTGCCAGGCAAGAGGTCAAGAGGAAGGCCAAAGAGGAGATATATGGATGTGCTAAAAGAGGACATGAAGTTAACTGGGGTGAGAGTAGAGGATGCTGAGGATAGAGTTAGGTGGAAACAGATGATTCGCTGTGGTGACCCCTAATGGGAACAGTCGGAAGAAGAAGACATACATGTATGTATGAATGAATGACACTTTATTATAGACTCAAGGTCCAAGTTCAAAAACTAAAAAAAACAATAAAAAACAGTTAAAAAGGAAAGAAGCGGAAACAACAATAAAAATAAAAACCAAATACAAGACATCAACCATAAACTACTATCCCTTTAAATGTTTATACTGTAATTTAAATTACTGCTGGGTAGCTTCTGAATTTTTCACCATAGACCAGTGATGTCTTATAATTATACTCTATTTTTGTATTAATCTAGTTATGAAAACTAACCAGTAACTAAAGTTATAAAATAAATGTAGTGGAGTAAAAAGTACAATAATTGTCTCTAAAATATAGTGAAGTCAAAAGTTTGAATTAACAGAACATGAAGTTGAAAAGTCAAGGCAGTGAAGAAGGGACTCCTGAATGATGACATGCTGAACAGCAGGACTAACCTCACCCCAGACCATGTATGCAACCTGAAGGTAGAAGTATACCGGAAACCTACACACACATGGACCAATACCTGTTTTCTGACTCACACCATCCACTTCAACACAAACTGGGAGTCATCAGAACTTTAAATCACAGGGCAGAGGAAGTGCCCACAAATGCAGAAGGGGCCAAGAAGGAAAAACTACCTCACCAAAGCAAGGAAGAGGCCCAACACCAACAGGGAGAAACCAGAAACAAGAGGGGATAACACTGTCATCCCTTATGTGGCTGGTTTATCAGAGAAGTTAAAAAGGATATTTAGCAACCACAATATCCCAGTTAACTTTAAACCAGGGAACACCCTGTGGCAGAGACTGGTCCACCTGAAGGACAAAACAGGACACAAACAGAGTGTGGTGTATGCCATTAAGTGTAGTCAGGAGTGTAACGACTTCACAAACGCATGGCCCAGCACAGGAGGGCCAACTCCAGTGGACCAGAGTCAGCAGTCCACCTCCACCTGAAGGACAAAGGACATTCTTTTGAGGACAGTGAAGTCCAGATCCTCTCCAGAGAACATCGCTGGTTTGAGAGAGGAGTTAAGGAAGCTATTTTTGTAAAAATAGAACACCCCTCACTAAATAGGGGTGGTGGACTAAGACACAACTTGTCATCCATCTACAATCCTGTTTTGAGATCTCTACCCAAACATGCCCACCAGGACAATAGGCATCAGTCCACAGGGGCGGATTCAAAGACAAGTAACGACTCTCACCGATACTGGGTTGTAACGACTCAGTCGTTAAGGGACATTGTTGGGCATCAAAGGACTGAAACACCACCGAGGGGGATAAATATCTCCGACTCAACACCAGTCAGTCAGAAATGATGAAGCCTCTTGGATGAGAGGTGAAACATCTTCGACCTAGAAATCTAGTCCAGTAGAAGTTTTTTCAACTTACTATCACCTGGATGACTGAGAATCTGCACAGACAACAGAACATGAAAATACTCAAGTAGCGATACCTCAAAATTGTACTTAGCTAGAGTACTTGAGTAAATGTACCTAGTTACTTTCCATCTTTTGATTTTCTATGTCATTATTAAGACAAAATAAAAAGGTCAGTGATTCCCAACCTTTTCATATGTTTTAAAAGTCTGTAGATTGATTCAGTAGGATGAAGAAAGGCAGCAATTCAACGCACAAACAAAAAACCAAGTCCAAATAAAATAAAAATGAAAGTCACTTTCGGCTTTTCTCCGTTTAGGGGTCGCCACAGCGAATCGTCATACTGACGACTCGCATGTTGACATTTGGCACGTGTCTTACGCCGGGTGCCCTTCCTGACGCAACCCTGATTCGAACCCGCAGCAAAAATACGCAATTTAAAGCATTAAGGTTACTACTTTCCGACGCTAGTGTCCCTTTGGTTTTAATAAGTCATGTAGCACGTGAAGGCAGCAGTGCGGTTTATCCAATCGTAAGCGAGCACCGAGTGACGTTGCAGATGTAAACAAACAGAGGCAGCGCGGCCATTACAGTAGCAGAAGAGTTTCGTTATTCTGTTGTCGAAGAAAACAGGTTTTCAGGTATTTTCATTTACAAAAAAACACAACAGTAAACTTGTATAGATTAATATGACGACTTTCAGTGTTTGTAATAATGTTTTTCTGTCTATGTAACTCGCTTTTTCTGGTCTGTTGATTGTAAAAATGGCAGAGTCGGCGACAGTCGTTAGCTGCCTGCTATTGTCTGTCAGACAGCGGCCATCACAGCCGACCACTGACTTCATGGAAACTCGGTATTTCATGGTTGAACGGCTCGTTTATGTGTCCTGTAGGGGCCCTTACTAGACTGCCTGACTGCCTGACTGCCTGTTTGGGAGACGAGTGAAATGAAGGACCCAAGTCTCAACAACATCGCCGTGAATATGACGATTAGCAACGAGGTGATCCTGAGCAACCAGTTGATCTCAGACGAGAACCCGTTCGCTGAGTACATGTGGATGGAGAACGAGGAGGAGTTCAACAGACAGGTGAGGATCACAACCAACAACACACATTGTGCTCAGGACACAGAGAAAAGAGATGGGTGGTGTCACTGATTTGGTAGGTAGGTAGAACTTTATTGATCCCACAGTGGGGAAATTCCAGTGTTCCAGCAGCAGTAAGGGACAAAAACAACAGAGAGCAAGCAACAAGACACCATAAGAACAGATACCACACACCGATCTTGATGGACAAATTCAGAAAGCACAGAAAAAAAAAACAAAACAAAAGGGAACAGAGCTACTGGAACTCACTGCCGCCCTGTGCGGTGCGTCTTAAAATATTTGACACGTTTTATTTCCCACTGTTAATTTCAATAAAAGAAAAATTGTAATTTTTAGTAAAATGCAACTCAACATTAACATGCAGACGTGCTAAGCAGGTTTTACAGTCCAAAATGTATTTTAGTTTTCTTTCTGACTCTTTACATTCATTTTTTTTCACATTCACATCTCACATTTTATGCCTTTTTGAAATAGCTGAAGTTTACTCATGTTTTATAGCAGGTTTCCTGTTTTTTTCTGTCATGTACTCTGCATTTTCTATTCCATCCACAGAGAGGCTATGTGAATCTGTTGCAGCGAGGTCTGGACAGGACTTAGACACTCATTAACAAAGGTTTTCAGCAGCAAAACTCCCTCTCCTCATTCAGTCTCTAGGTCTCTGGACCACAGCTGTTCTCTCTCTCTCTCTCTCTCTCTCTCTCTCTCTCTCTCTCTCTCTCTCTCTCTCTCTCCTCCTCCTCCTCGGATGGACCTCAGCCCTCCCATTTATACAAAGGGCGGAATCTACTCATCTCAACAAAAATCTCCCTGTTGTTGGGGCATGTTACAGTGACCCCTCTACAACTTGTACTTTTTATACAGGATGGCGAGGCGCAAAACTGGCACAAAACACTTGCATTGAATGGGCAGTGTAAAAGGTGCTGTGATGGTAAAGAGGAGCCGCTGCACCTCCTTGACTTCAAGCTTATTTTCAGCTGAGCAGGGCCAGGTGATGATCACTGCAGAGACTTCTGCCTCTGTCTTTCCAAAGCAAAGACAGATTTATTGGTCATTTAAGGTCAGCACAATCTTAACTGTAGCTTCAACTATAGCTTCAACAACATCTGAAAAGCACAACAGGTAAAATAGAACTGTCCTCACACAAACATCTGTCTGAAACAGATGGTATGATCCTCACAGAGCAGAGACAGTGTCCTGTATGAGAGCAGGGCCACTGTGGATGGTGAGAGGAATCTAACAACAAGGAAAAGCCATTGCTAGCAAACCAGGGCCTTTCAGCCCAGAGCAGATCTGTAAAAGGTCTCTTGCTTCAGATGAACAAACATTTTTTGGTGCTGGAGCAGGGAAACTATTTCATTCTCTGTGCTACTGTGTGGGAGTGATTCTTACAATTTTATTGTCCAGGAAAATAGGTGATGAGTCCCAGTAAAAGCGTTTCTAAAAGAGACGTTTGTCAGGTTGTGCTTCCATTAGTTTTTCTTTCCAGGAGGCACAATCCACTAAGCCTGACTATAAACTGTTAAGTCAGACAATGTGAGTGACTTCCTCCTCCTGGGCCCCAGCGTACATGACTTCTCCTGTTGCACTGTCCAGTGCAGAGCAGCTATGAATTCATCCTCTCTACAGTACCAAACTAACATTAGATAACCCTTTACTGTTGGTCAGAGCTGGACAATGTATTTAGTACTGCAGTTTAAAAATACTCCATTACAATTCAATGTTCTGCAGGGATAATGTCAGGACAGTGTACTTAGAGTATCGAAGGTCATTCAGACTAGTGCCCCATAGTGTATTATTAAATTATCCTGACTGATACATTAATATGTTTGATTCAGTCCCGGAGTGATTGGTGACCAGCGGATGTTTGGATGGGTATACATGTAGAAATAATCCTAGCATATAGAACAGTGTGTAGAATTATTCCAGCTAGGGCTGCAGCTAATGGTTGTGTTCATTTTCAGTGCATCATTTGGTTATGTAAGCTATAAAATGTCTAAAATGTTAAAGAAAAGATGTCCCTCACAGTTTCTCTGAATGCGAGGTGACGTCTACAGGTGTCTCGTTTTGCCTGACCAACAGTCCAGAACCCATGAGGGTCAGTTTACTGTGTGAAAACAGAGAAAGCAGATCATCTTCAGGTAAAATAGATGAGAAGGGGTTAGGGGCTAAGTCTGAGGATCGGCCTGCTGTGTGTAGAAACGGGTATGCTCCTTTACAGCTCACTCTGGACTTCATGCTTGTGCAGACAGGTGATGGATCACGTGTGTTCATACTGTGCCTGTGACCCACATACATAACATGTCTCAGACTGCTGGCGCATGTGTGCAGGTGGAGGAGGAGCTGTGGGAGGAGGAGTTCATTGAGTGCTGTTTCCAGGAGATGTTGGAGGAGGAGGAGCAGTGGGAGTGGTTCATCCCGTCCAGAGACCTCCCCTCTCAGACAGTCAGTCAGCTACAGGAGCAGATCAGTCTGCTGGTCCTGGATGCAGACGCAGAGGCAGACTTTGACGTCGCGGTGAGTTCAGGAAACTGTGAGGGCCAGTCTCACACACCAGTGCATCACTGTTACTGCTTGAAAGGTGTGTGCAGCAATGATGTGAAAACAGATTCTTCATCATCACATGTCCACTTTTTGGCTACTTTGTCAGTGAAGAATGGTTTCACACAAGAACATGTTCATTATTTCTGAGTACTGGCAGCAGTAAAGTCTTGGTGTGTGCACTGGTGTCAGAAACCTTTGACAGAAACCAGCTCTCAGTGCTGGGTTCTGACATCGATGTAATGAACGAGGCTGCTAATGTCTTGGTTTTTGTTATGGTCACACACCCAGACCCTGGTTTAACTTGTTGCTCTGTGCTGCAGACTGCAACTGCAGACCTCCACTAGTCTGCTAGCTTCTCACAAAGCATTTTGGAGCTGGTTATTGGTAAACCAGGGTCTGGATGTTGTGACAATAACAAAAACAAAGACAATCACCAGCCTCATCCTTGACATGTGAAGGGTCTGCTCTGAGCTGTGTGAATGAGACGGACACACACAGCAGAGGTCACTTTCTCACTGACCTCCTCATCCTCTTCCCTCCAGATCAACAGCAGCCTGAACCCCAACGCCAAGGAGTTCACCCCAGGGATCCAGAAACACATCATGTGACCCAGCCAGGCCCCTCCTCTCCCGCCTCAGTCCACACTGTGACATCATCAACAAGATGTCTGCCGTATTCTCCAGTCGCCACTCCACCTTCAGCCTGACATGTTGCCAAAGTTCTGCGCTTGCCTCACCTGTTCAACTTCACAGTACAGTTACTCTTAGTTACTAATTACTGCTGCTAGTTGCTGCAGTCCCCCCGTCTGTTTGTGGTAACTGAATGTAAACCAGTAGAGGAGTGTCTGTGTGTAGCCTCAGTCCAGAACAAACCGGTTTACATATTCTCAGCTTTTATTTGCACTTTTTATTGTATCAATTCTGAAAACAAACATTTTAGTCGACCTCTGTCACGTTCAGAATCTGCTCGCATCAGAGAGCACTTTTCAGCTCCTGATTTGTTTCACAACGTTAGAGCCTGGTTCGTTCACTTTAGACCCGGTTCTCTCTGCTTTCCCAGCGTCCTGTGTGTGTGTGTGTGTTTTGGGTTTTTTTTATCCCCCTGGGTCCCTTTTGGTCCCTCTTTGACCCTGTTAGTACCCGCTGGTCTGTCTTTGCCCCTGCTGGTTCCTATCGACCCCCAGAGCAGCCGGCTGTCTCCCACCTCATTAATTGATGTTTGTGTTGAGTTTTTCTACATGCACATAAAGTACTGTATAAAAAGTCGTATAATGAAAAAAGTTGTTAAAAAATCTATTTTTTCTTAAACTATTTGAAAATAAATGTATATGGAGAAAAAGCTGCAGTGTCATCTTTCTTTCCACTGAGCATCCTCGTGAAATGAGCTCAGCCTCCTGAGACTCGGCACCGCTTCACCCAGAGCTGGCAGATACAGGACTGCAGCGATGTGTATGTGTCAGGTGTCTCTGGAAACACATCACATCCACAACCTGTTTTCACTGTAGTAGGATTCTCTTTTCTGTCTGGAGGCTGATCCTGCCCACAGTGCACATGTATAGATGGCACTAATAGCCCACCAGCTGCTGGTTTGTGTGGAGTTATTTCCACTGGGACAGAGTGCTGTCGTCCAGCAGAGGGCGGTGCAGCTTCTTCCTCTCCTTTGGTTTGGGTTGCACTATATTACTTCACATCCCTGGTTCCTATTGGTACTTAAATGTAGGTATAAACAAGGTTCTGGTGAACAGCTGGCTTTTTCTAGAAGAGAGGAGAAATAAATGATACTTTTTTGTACATACCAGATACTTGCAGGGCACAGTGCTGGGAAACAACTGAACTCTGGAAGAGAAGGTGGTAAACTTTCTCTTCACTGAGTAAAATGCGGTGTTTTAGTGCCTGGTTAAAAAATGAATAATAATCAGGATAATCACCTTTATTTGGCCAAGTATGTTACATACAAGGAATTTGATTCTGGTACAGAATCGATGGCAGCCATCTGCGGCGCCAACTCCATACCGATGCCTCTAACCATCGGGGGCAACTTGGGGTTTCAGTGTCTTGCCCAAGGACACTTTGATACGTGGACTGCAGGCACTGAGATTCAAACTTTCAACCTGCCAGTTGGGAGACGACCACTCTACCCACTGATCCACAGTCGCCCCCACTTAATAACGTCTTATCACACTTCATAAAAATCTGTTCTAATTCTAAACCTTAAATCTAACCCCAAAGGGGCCCTGAGGTAACCGATGACTGAGACAAGTCCAGTTGTCTCCGCTGAGCCAGGCGTGTTCGTCTGTCCTAACACCTCCTCCACTTTAGCTTCTCGTCTTCATACAAGTTGTGATCTTGGTTACAGCGGTGGCTCTTGAAGTCAGTTCATATGTACATGTTAGTCAGCCTGTGAGCTGTAGTCGCCTGTTTATCTCTCGGCATTGAAAGTCTGTTGCTTGTAGAGTTGTAAGACTACTAGATGTTATTACAATAGCACTGAGCTACTAGTTGCTTCGATGTTAGTGAGGATGTTGAGTTTCAAAGTATCCATAGGTCCCACACCCTTCGTATGTAACCCCTCTCGCTGGGGTTACTTGTATAGTAGCATTCCAATAGTTCCCTGTTCTCCTTTCTTGTCCATGAATGTCTTTTCCAACTCTCATTACCAATGAGGTAGGCAGGTAGCCTACTTCAACTGGACTAGATTTCTAGGTCAAAGATGTTTCACCTCTCATCCAAGAGGCTTCATCAGTTCTGACTGACTGGTGTTGAGCCGGAGATATTTATCCCCCTCGGTGGTGTTTCAGTCCTTTGAACGCCAACAATGTCCCCTAACGACTGAGTTGACCATGGTCTTGTCCTAATACACAACGAAGGAGCCCCACTCAGACCCACTGTCAGCAGCATCAACTCTGTGACTTACAACATAGCCAAGCACGCGGCCACCATCCTGGCTCCTTTGGTGGGAAACACACAGCACCACATAATAAACTCCCAGGACTTCGCAAGGAAAGTCCAACAACTGCAGCTGGACCAGAGATCATTGGCATGGGTTCCCATAGAAAGATATGTTTGAAGCCTGAAATGTGGCAAAAGGTCGCAAAGTTCAAGGGGGCCGAATACTTTCGCAAGGCACTGTATGCCTAATGCAGGGGATGCAGCGCATCCACACAAGGTCAGCAAAGTAACTGCTGCCACAAAAGATGTAGCAAAGAAATCACTAAATTTTTCCACTTGCCAAAAATTTTTTTTTAACAAACCAATCATCAATGTAATTTTTAATTTCTGAATGGTCAGCCATCTCCTCTAATAAAAGTTCAACCCTGTCAGGGCCCTAGTAATTGAGCCATCAGGTGCAGTGTTATTTGGGATGTGAGTACAACACTGTTGCCCAATCATAGTACAAACACCCCCTTTTTTAATCAGAATGATGGGGACGTGTATGGGCTCCTGTGTCAACCATACACGTGATCTTAACCATCGATGGTTACCTTAACTAGTGGTTCAAGAAACATTTCCTAGGAACACCGTGAGTCACCTGTTATCAGTTCTGGGCAGCTCTAATGTTGAGGCAACTGGTGTGAGCCAGGTGCCTGATGTTGGGCTGATGGTGGGAACTGCTGAACATATCTATCCCGTGGAGGTGGGTAGACCTGATGCTGATATCGTGGTACACCCTGTGACTGCTGGTATGAAAAGGGACATTTATGCCACCAGTGTCCTTTTTTATTACAAATCCAGCACCTGTCGTCACTTGGCAGACCTTTTCTGAGAGTCCGAGGTCCTTGACCTCTACCCTGTGGTCTGCCACAGTACTGAGGTCCACAGTGCATGGGAGCAAAATCCCACTCATAAGGTGGTGTGGTTGGCTGTGGAGCAAAGGGTTGCTGCTGTCTATCTGGCTGTACAGGCATTTGGTTAGCTGTAGCTTTACTTTGATTAACCTTGTCTCACATTTCCTTTAACTGCACCCTAGCTAACCGTGCCTGCAAAGAGGAAAGCTCCTTTGCATTCCTTTCTTGTGCTTCCAGCTCATTGTCAATACACTGAGTGACATAAGCTGACCACCGCTCAAAGGTAAATGCGTTGAGTCCCACTACCTGTCTCAGCAGATGCTGCATGGATGCTGGGAGGGAAGCCTCCACAACACTGTGAAATAGCACCCCCATAGTGTCATCGATGTCTGCCAGAGTTCACACACTCTGAGCAAATAGTGACTCTCACCCTCTTGAGGTGGAATTCTACACAGCTCAACAGAACGCACCTGTATTGGGAATTTCTGGCTCATCATCAGCCAAAGCCGATGAATTTCAGTATAGAACGAAGCATTATCATCATCCTCAGTAGTTTTCCATCAATTCTACCTCCTGTAACGTGCTCATGTCTTGAAGGTCAAAAGGAGTGTAGGTTTGTGTTATCTCTCCACAAAGTGAGGTGGACTGAAACAATGGCAGCTGGTGTGAGGAGATGTCAAACCAATAACACATATTTCCTTGCCCTCTCTGCACATGTTGTGATGAGAAATCATGCACTATGCCGTCATAGCTGGAATCATCATCACTTTCAGAAACGTGAGACATTGCTGGCACTGAAAAATCACAAAAGTGCCTATCCTCTTCCTCTACGAGAGAGGCACATGCACTGACAACTGGAGTTGTGCTAAACAACCAGTTTTTAGCTCATTTAGATAAGTCTGTTCTTCAAATCCGTCAATTATACCTCCTGGAAATGAGGCTGTGTCCAAAACATCTCCCTGTACAACCGCCAGGGGCGCCATGCCCTGTGTTGCACTTTGTGGCATCTGTCTAGATAAGGCATTCTTTAATATTGGCTTCTGCTCTCCATGTGGAGATTGTGGGGAAGATGGCTGTGTGTGTCTGAACTGCACTTTGTAATCTCTGCTAGAGGCTGCAGCTAGCACTGGAACAACTGTGCTACTCGGAGAATGAACTTCAGCTGGTCCCTGTGACTTGCTTGAACTGGCTGAAAGAGACTGAAAACGCTTGAAATTTTCCAAAAAGCATGTACAATCAGAAAGAAAACCCTCAGCTTTTTAAAATCTGGGAACTGTATTTCTTATCAAAGAGGTGCAGGTACTGATTTGTTGTTTAGCTTTCTCAACAGCAAGAAAGGCTTGCTTCAAAAATAGTCCTATAGAATCCCTTTGTGGGGAAGGGCTGTCACTGTCCCCAAACATCCCCTTCTTTTGCATCTGGAGGACCCAAGTAATGAACCTATCTCTTGCAGTGTCCTGCTCATCTTTAGGAACTGTATGTAACCATTTAAACAAAAACTTGTAGAGTACTGACCCCAAAGACTCAGGTTTGCTCATTGTCCCAATCTTGAACAACGTTTGCAGACATATTGAAAATTATGCACACTTCATCTGAAATGGTCTCTGCCCAGAACCAGGTGATTCGAACACGAAGCTCCTACATCAGAACTTTTTCTGATGCATGTGATCGCTGGGGGTTCTCCCAATCTACAGCTCTGTTTTAATTCCACTGAATATGCCGTCACCCTAAGGCTATAATACAGTTTTCCCATAGACTATACCCAGCCCCCGGAACCAAAAACAGTTCTGCCCGAGGCACACTGTTTCACATCGAATTCTCCCAGTAGCACATGCTACACATGTGACAGTGTTCAACAGCCTTCGTGCAGCAAATCCACCCACACAAATATTAAAAATAAAAAATATTTCCCTGTGCCCTCATTAATCATTTAACAGTTAGCAGTGACCGTCTTATAAATATTTAGATATTCAGAAATGCTCAGAGAAGTCTCGTTCAGAGAAAGCTCCTCCTGCCACCTCCGCCTTCAACAAGCCAGTCTTCCCATCGGGGCAAAAAATCCTAATAATTTTGGAGACATCTGTCACACTTTGTGGTTATCCACTTATTAATGTGACTTTTACGTCTCTGATAGTCATCCATTTCTGTGGCTAGGGCACTTATTGTTCTATCCCTCAAATGAAAACATGTGCTTGCAACTTTAAAATGTGGCATAAACAAAACAGCACATTTCAGAAAAAAAGTGTTATCTTATCCTTAATGTTATAATTCAATTTTAGATCGAGAATTCACAGTCCACACAGATCAGCTAAATTTGGCAAAGTCCAATGTGCAGGATTTATGTGTAAATAGGTTTCCTGCTCACCTGTTTATTGTCGAAGTTGATCTGTGCAGTTCGTTCACTCACAACAGGGAATCCAAGGAGCCGGTTCGGATCGTATTTGATTCACACAGGGCACAGACATGACTACAAATCAATGCCAGTGTTATACCCCAGTTCTTTTATTGGACAGATCAGGAAGGAGTCCGTCTTTCTTCATTT